TGTCGTAAGAAACTCAGCCACCTGCCAACCATCGTTGCCCGGCAGACCACCCAGCCCAACCGACCCCAACTGGCCCCTAGAGCGGCATTCGGACGGGCGCCAAAGTCAAGTGGCAGTTGACCCAAGTGGCGCCAACCAGGCGTCAGTTAGCCAGCCCAGCCACGAGTTGGTTTAAATCGAATCAAATTCAGAACGTTGCTCAGATTCCAGGCGAGGCATTTCATGCGTTTTATTCACAATATTTTCATTCAATTATTGCCATATATTAGAAATTGCCCAAGCGACACAATTGAAGCGAACTTCCATATCATTTGTGCTGGATTCACGAGAATCACATGCGCAGAGATAATTGAGCATTGACTATTGCCACTCACATGTAACTTGTTTTAATTACATACTCAATTTCAATTGCACATCATAGCTGTAATCCATTTAATTTATTTGAATTCGATTTGCACTTAACACACTATTTCCTTGCGTGTGCCTCAATTATATCATTCGATATCGCAATTAACTATGAGCCTTTCAGAGAAGACACATTTGACAAGTCTTATAGACATATTGTTTAAAGATTTCCATATAGAAAACTGCCTGATTAACTGATTGATAATTAACGAACTGCCCAAACCGAAAGAAATATAAAACTGAATTCTTTAGTTTTTTTACACGCTTAGACAGAAAATTTTCACCCGCAACTGTGGAAAATTAGTGGAATAAAATGAGACTTTGTTTTCACTCAAATCTTAATGAATCCGACTGACTAACTAACTGACTAACTGGCGGATCTATTGATTGACTGACTGACAGGGCAACTGACAGACCGACAGACCGATTGACCGACTGATTGATTCACTGATTCACTTACAGCCCAAACCGTAAGCGATCGGAAACTGAACAAAACTTGCAGCGGACTGGGACAGCGGATGCTAATAATAATAAGCATGATTATATATTTAATAAATTTCTATTTCCCATTTACGTTCCGTTTTCCACCAACTAACTATGCAAAGGACATTTTTATTAATACTTAAACAGCGTCAACTTTTAGTTTCGTCGTCTGTCGTCTGGGGTAATCAACTGACCATGGAGCCCTCCATTATTAGTATACTAAATAAACTGATTTTGTTCGTTTTGTTACCTGAAAGCCTGTGAGCAAGCCCCATTGAGAGACATAAGATGAGCAAGTAGAGAAGAGTGGCTTTTACACAAATGCCAATGACAGACACTTTTTATACAATTTAGCAATTTACCAAGCCATTAACAATTTATCCAAACAGCTGACTTAAAACTTTGCTGCTTTTCAGCAAAGAAAGCTAAAACTTTTCGCCAACGTCAGCAATTTTAAGCCGAATAAAAATAAATCGTTAACATAAATCAAAACACTTTCAGTTTTCTCGGTTGCTTTTATCTTCGTCTTCTCTTCTTTTTTTTTGTTCTTGAGTCAAAGCCATTACAAATGCACTTTGGCGCTTGATTTGGCTTCTGCCTCTACATCTGCTGCATGCCACACGGTGTGGCAGCTTATGCTTCTGTCAATTTTTATACCCTTCACAATGGCTTCTCTGGGAAAATGTGTTTGGCAGTCCAAAAGAGGCGCCTTCCACTCTTGAAAAGGTTATAAAGTCTTTATGAGAACTCAAATGGAGTTAATCAAGTCGGAAACTATAAGACCTGAAGACGTAAACTTTAAGATATTTTATTCTTACATCTAATACGCAGCATAAATTTATACTATATATTTAAAAATCTCATCCACATTTTCGTAATACCGATAAAAATCTTAAAATATGTTTTTAAGCATGACTCACGGATTATATGAGAAATATATTCAACACATTTGATATGCATATCTTCTTAAAGTATATAAAGATAAGGAACAGAGGGGTTTTTGTTACGTATCCAAATACTTATTAGAATTGAAAAACACTCGTTTTTAAAGCTATAGTCATATGTTTGGTATGAGCACATATCTGGCTGCCTTATTAAGGCCTCAAAAGTTTTAGGTTTTCAGATTTTACTGCAAGCACCAAATGCACTTTCTTTGGTCTGTTGCTGGCGGAATGGGTACAGCCGGCACCTGGCTACAGGGTATCTCCTAGTTGAGGCGACTGGATCAATCATTTGTTGGTGTTGTTGTGTATTCGCTTGTTATCTTTCGTTTGGCTCTGCCCCAAATCAATGCCAAATCACGGCACACCGCAATCGCACAGCATCCGCGCCCAAATGTATGCTACAAAATATGCTGTGAGTATAACAAGCGGCAGGGGCAGAGTCAACAGCAGCAGGGGGCAAACAAAGGCTGGGCCAACGTCACGCCTCGCATAAGGAGATGGCATTTGATAAACATTATTGAACATGTCCGACAATTTTTCAACAATCGCTCGAGCGTGCCGGCATTTGATTGATCCAATGGCCATCAGGCGCGGTGAGACAGACGTTGGGTGCGTTCCCATTGGTTGGCATTGCCATGGCTAACAAACGGTTAGCGGTATAAATGACAAAGCATTTTGTATTTGGCAGCTGCTGCTGCTGCTGCTGCTGCTGCTGGAAGAGTGATTGATTTTGTTTGGCAAAGTAGATGCCCGTGACTGGCAACGGCGTGGGCGTGGTGGCGGCTGAGCCAGCTGATTCGAACGCTACGTTCTCACATTTAATTGCACTTTAAAAATCACACAAGCGTGAATTTGCCACATTCATTCGCATCGTTCAGTTCAGGCCACAGACCGACCCACAAAAGCCCAACCAAACAAACTGGTCACTTTCACTGCAATTTCGCCAAGTCCTGCATTTACTCGCATAATCCCTTGTAAATCGAACTTGAATACACTTCCATTTCAGTTGAAAGTAATCATATTCGGCAAGCCTTAAGTTAGCATTTAATCTCACAATTGCCAATCCAGCAATTGAATTTAGTAAACAACTTAGTAGGCCGGCTTTTTGACTAAGTTTGACCACAGTTTCTGCTACTTCCAACCCTGCTACCTCATATTCTATCCAATTCCTATGGAACTTTTCGATTGATGTTAGCATTTAAGCAGTCCTCTCTTGATGAGTCCAACTAACAAAAACAACTTTGACTAACAATCGCCTTTAAAGTAGCCAAAGCTTAACTAACTTTAATATGTTTTGTATAAGCAAAGTTTGTCAGTTTTTGAAGAGCATGTGAGAGGCAAGAACATTCGGGATACATTTTACGGTGGAGTATTCGACCATATTTAATTGCAACCACTTATATTTATACCCTGTAATAATATAAAATGAGCTGGAAAGGGGCATGTTGGAGTTGTGCAAATACATGTAACATGCAGAAGGAAACTTTCCATTTCTTTAAAGTATTTGATAATCTCGAAAACTGAAATGTATAATCCCCTATATCATATGCAAAACTAGCTCATTTATTAATATTTGTTGATACCTATACCTGCATGCATGTACAGAGAAAATAACGATTTCTGCTGCATACACGGTATCCGATAGTCGAGCACTTGCGTCTCGAGCACTGCTAATTATTTGTATTATGCATGGCTGCATTTTTCAATTACTCGTCCGCTTAATACAACCAATTGACGCTAACCACAGCTCCACCTCCTCCTCCCACTGCTAAATGGGCAGCACGTGCCACAACAAAAATACAAACATACATACATATACATATATATATATATATATGTATATATATATGTATGCATATATGTAAGCATACATATATAGAAGTATTTGCATGTGCGGACAAATATTTGTATACAAATTCGCCACACGTTTGCGGAACAAACCGACAAAGCAATTTATTATGGACATTTCCATAAAAATTTGACAGATTCCCCACAGCACAGATTCCCCACGCCACAGACTCCCCCTGAACACACTTCATCAACAGCATCTTGGACACCAGACTTAAGCTTTTCATGTATCCCGTCCAGCTCGTTGGCACTTTGACTGCTTCACGTCCGGACAGCTGGTGTGTCCAGCGTCCGCTCTCCTGTGGCCTGCTGCTGTTGATTGCTTTCCTATGGCGGTCGCGTGTCGCGTGCGTGACCATATCGAGGGCGTATTCCGTCCCGTTATCACTTTGTTGGCAGCCGAATTGATTAAGCTGTCCACATGTCAAAATGTGAGATAATCCATCTTCAAGCTTACTTCTCTGTCTGACCGTTTATCTGCCCGTCTGCGAATACCAGTCGCCGTCTTTATTTAGGCATATGACTAGCTGCTAACCAGGCGTACATCATTTTTATTGTGACAACATAATATGAATCTAACATCCCTGACAATAAGTCCTGGAAGCCTGTTAAATACCGGAATTCGAATTTGTATTTTACCATGAACCAAACATTGAAGCAATTAAGTAGCCCAAATTGGCGAAACCGAAACCTTCAGCAGGCCGAAGATCTAATACCCTTGCAGACCCAACCTTTTCATAATGCTCAAAGTGCCTTGCCCGTATCTAAGAAAATAGTGACAGCCGAGTTGTTTCGACCGCTCGTTCCTATGGCAGCTATATAGTGGTCCGATCTTAAGAGGAGTTTGCATATTAATGAGGAGCATAGCAAAACTAATAAATGTCGAGATCGGTCAAGATATCTTGAAAAACAAAATGTTTTCATACAAGAATCTACTTTTCGACCGATCGCTCTTATGGCAACCATATGATATAGTGGTTCGATCCAGCTGGTTTTGACAGCTGGTTTTTGCAGCAGAAAGAGGAACTTCTGCAAATTTGTATAAAAATAAATTTAAAACTGAGAGACTTGTTCGCATAGAAACAGACAGACGGACAGACGGACATGGCTATATCGATTCGGCTGTTGATGCTGATCAAGAATATATATACTTTATGGGGTCGAAGATGTCTCCTTCTATGAGTTACACGTTTCGCGACAAAATTATAATACCCTCTGCAAGGGTATAACATAAATGGCACGCTAGAGATGAAACACTCTTGGGAAAATAAGTAGATCGCTTTCTTATATTTCTAAAAAAATAAATCAAATATACTCTACCGATTATTCCTATGGTGGTTAGGTCGAAACGCGTCGTCCAGATCAAATCTACTATTTCAAGTTACACATTTCATCACATAATTATAACAATTAAATTCAAAGGGGAGGCAACAAATCTAACTGTTTTCTATTTCTCACTATTTTTCTCCCTCTTCTTTTCTTTCTTCATATGTGCGCCAAAAAATAAAAGCTTTGCGCCAAAAACTAAGCGCTTAGGTAGTTAAAAGATTGTTAAACAAATCCTTAAGGGCGGATATCAGGTGGCACACGTACTTGGCACGATTTACACAATAACAATATAAAATATAACAATAATTAATAACATTTTCCTTAAATTCAATTTAATGCACACGCGCGAAAAAAACACAACCGATCAAGGAAACTGGCGAGCACAGACTAAACTCATTATGCTGGCATCGACGCTCAGCCGGCATTTGCACTCATACACATACATACACAACTACAACTGGTGCGCTCACACCATCTGCAACAAAGTAGCAAGATCAAATAGACATATGTATGTATGTACATGTACGAATAACCATCGCTCTCTGGTCTAGCTGCAGCCTGCAGGCGACAGCAGCAGCGCGTCAACGCTAGTGATGTGTCAACAGCCAAAAAGTGGACATTATGGGTGTTGTGTGCATAAAAGGTAATTAATTCGTCCACTGTTGACACATCACTATCGTTGTTGCCTTGAACTGCAATTTGCAGCCTCACCAGAGAGCCGAAAGAGAGCAAATGGTGTGAGCGCAAAAGTTTCATGCTTGTGCATATGTATTAGTGCAAATGCCAGCTTAGCGCAGCTGTGCGCGTAATGAGGCTGTTTAGTCTTTTCTGGCAGTTTCCTTGATCGGCGGGCTTTTGTGCGCGTGTGCATTAAATTGCTTTCAAACAAAATTAATTTAATTATGTTATTGGTTCAAATCGATTAGTGCTTGCAAAGTGCCAAATAAATTAGTCTGCGAACCGATCTCCCTTGCTGAAGATTTATTTACCAACCGGCAAAGTGCATAGCAGTTTAATTTTTGCTATTTCTTTTTGGCGCCACTTTACAAATAGAGAGTGAGTAATATGATAACTGTATTTTAACAGTTTGATATTTGTCTACTATTGCAAAGACTTGCATAGGGTATTATAAATTTCATGCGAAAGATGAAACACACAATGAAGGAAACTTCAATTTATACAAATATGTATACATATATTTCTGGTCAATTATTAAAATAGTTAAATAGTTATATATACTTCTTAACATTTTTTTCATATGTATACGTATTGTTATTCATAATATGAAGTTTGGTCGTAAAAATATAAACTTTGCGGCTTAGAATCCCTATTGATTCACATTTACAAGCGCATTTCGTATTCAGTTAACGAACCTCCCATTAGGGATTGACGATTGCCATTAGCACGCACTCAACTCAAATGCAGTTGTGTACATATCGTAAAATATAATATATGTAGATGTTTATGTAAATATAGATCGCCCTGAAAGAGCAGTCAATTTGCATGGCCATTTTGTGTAAGAGTCGCATAAATTTATTATAATAAACTGAATGTGCAAATGATGATGCCACGTAGACGGCCCAAATCACAAAGTTAGCATGGCCTATATTCCGGCAGGGTCATCGAGCGACAGTGAGGCGTCAGGCATATGTGAGGGCTTCGATTAATGAGTGACACACCCCCCAGCGAGACACTTGATCATAAAAATCATAATCGGCATCCATGCGGCGCGCATAAAATCAGTGCCAGACGACTCTATAAGTAATATATATGTGTGTGTATACATATGTAAATGTGGCTCTGTGCGTGTGAGTGTGCAAATTTAGCTGCCCTTACGCCCACAAATAATGAGATGCTTCGTGCATTATAAAATATGTACGTATGTATGTATGTACATATATGTATATGCTCAATGTCAATCTTTTTTCCCTAAGCAAATGTACGTGTATGTATGCTTATGTGCATGTGTATAACAGGCTAACGAGAACATATTTAACTGTAAAATATATATGTACATCTGGAGATATGTAGCTGAGAGAGTGCATTCTCTCTCTCGGTCTGCAATTTAGCTAACAGTTTTTGTTATACTCTGTACCCATTAAAAATGATGAAAATGTGAGTTTGTTTTGTAGCAGAAAAGAAGCAGCCTGCATTCAGTGCAGCCACATGCTTGTGCTTGTGTATTATTTTTATGTACGCTGGGTATTTCTTAGTCGGGCACTATTACCTATACTATTTTTTTCTTAATTTATTCATTACTTTTTCTATTATTTATATGCCAGGTCTTTTTGCATTGCTTTCTTTTTACTTGCAGAATTTCTCTCTTAAATATATTGTGTGTATATTCCGCTTTGCTATGTTTTCCTTTGGTTTTTAATCTGTTTTGCCCTTTGTCTGCGCATTTTGTGTATATTTTCGTTTTGTTTTTGCTTTAAGCGTTCTATTCTTTTGCATAGGCCAAGCACTTCTCGACTGTCCACATTCGCCCTAATTTATTGTTTCGCCTGATGGCACATTTATGAAGTTTCCTTTACTGTTGCGTTGCCTCGCTCGCATTCTCTAAAAGTTTGTTGCTTTCATTTTGTGACGTAGTAACTGCCTTAATTCGAGCATTTTCTGTTCTATTCGTTTGTGCGCCTAGCTTTAATTTTATTTCCATGCACTCGTTTGTATGGCCTGGACCGGTCTCATAAAGTGGCATACTTTATGGCATACTTTGGGGGATATCTGGCTTGAGAACTCCCCTGCTCCCCAGTCAACATCGGCCCACCTTGCCCGGGCGGACTATGCTGCTCATTTCACATGCCATTTGTCCATACTTGCTCTCCACTGTGCAACACCGGTTGCCCCGCACCTTGGTTCAAGTTCGCTACGCTTTCGCATATTCTATAGAAGTTCCTGCGCTTTGCAAAATGCAGCGAAAATGTCCTTTGTAGCACAAATTCCGGCTTCGGTGCATAACTGGAGGCTTTCTCTGCTCGCATATTTTCAAAACGTGCCAGTTTCCGCTACGGACGAGGCCAATTTATGCCCCGGCAATTGCGGGAAGCGGAGTGTTGCGTACAATTGGCAAACTTGCCGCTTACCCCAGAACGCAGCTGTTGTTGTTGTGGCAAGCATTGAGTGCGTCCACACTGAAAGAAAAAACTGAAAAAGGGCTATTGTCGGTGCCCAGAATATTAAATACTCTTGCCGACATACATATAGCTTATAAGTTTTATTATATATGGTTTATTATCGGCCGATTTAAAACGAATTACCAGCAATGTAATTAATAAAACTTCTTTTTTTATAAGTTTCGTCCGAATGTTCTCTGAAACCAAAAAAAGGGTGTCACTACTTACTTTTCCACCGATTCTTAAATATAGCAGTCCGATATTGATAAGATGTTGCCTGATATGTGAGGAATAAAATGCCAAATTTGGCTCATAAAAGCACTTAATTTATTATTAATTTATGACATTTATATCCAATGGACACAGTATATAGTACAGATATATATATACATATATATAATGGGGATCGTAGTAGTCGTTATCGATGCGTTACGCATCTTACGACATAATTAAAATACCCTTCCAAAGTTAAAAAAAAAAAAAACAATATCTGAGCAATCAAAGTAAAAGAGAGGGAGGGAGGCAAGTGGAGAGCTGGCATCAAGAGAGGGAGAGAGAGAGAGAGAGAGAGAGAGAGAGAGAGAGGGATAGAGCGAGCATTACACGTGCTGGTAGAGAGGTTGTGAAACATGTTGAAACGTGACAACGCCTTAATATTTCGCAGAAACGGCTGCGGCAAGCAATTTGCAGCAGGTACTGCTAAGATTTTTTTGAGCTTTAACCAGTTTTTTAAGCTGTCATAAAAATGATCATAAAGGCTGCTTCACAAAAATTGTGCAGCAAATTGTTGTTGCAGGCGTGTGGCAGGTTGGGCATGCCAAAGCCAACAGTTCAATAGCCAAAAACCGAAATAGAAACACAGGCACAGGACATGCAACTCCTCGCATGCCACGCAACGGTCAAGCATGCTCCGCACTTCCGAGTGAGGTCAGTCGAATCCTTCAGCTGGCATTTGATAAATTTAACACAAGACAAAATAATTCCCAGCACGCAAATCATAGCAGCTCGTGCCCAAATACACACATAATATACTTATTCATGCACCAGTAAATTATAAAAAAAAAAAAAAATCCTAAAATGATTCCAACTGTTTTAACGTAGGCTTAACAAGCTACAAAACGGTTTAGTTCCGGTTCAGATGGGCTTCCGATGAGTTTGTGTGGCACGAACTGAATCCAAATTTAAGCCAGGCTCATAAACGGCTTAGAAACGGCATAAAATCTTTGGTTAAGCAAATACGATTTGTGCTGTTAAACTGGTAAAGAATTTTTCGAATTTTAGAATTTTAGAATCTCTTTTTATTGTTATTAAGTTGAAATTTGAATTTTCTGCTTATAAAAAGAAATAAACTTATATTTAGTTATATGTAGTTGATTAAAGAACATGGCTTAATGTTAACAAGATATAAAAGCTTTCCAATCAAAAGCAAGAATGCTTAATTTTTTATAACTTCTTCGCGTTTTCAATTTAAGAGTTAAGTCCATCGATTAACGCAATTCTCAAGTGACCTGCATATCCAGGAAATATCCTTCCCAAATAGAGTTTATGCTTGAAGCAAACTCAGTTATTTCTATAGTTTATAGTCAAAGGAAACCTTTGCTACGCGCTTAAAATGTTGCCATGCGCTGAACGCGACACACCTTCTAGGACAACACTTAAGTCAAGGCTTAACGTGGCTATATATAGGTACATAGACACAGGTGTGCGCAGGTGTTTGCATCACGTGCCGGACTGAGTTTGCATAGTTTTTGGGCACACGCACAGCCAGAGCGAAGGCACGGCTTAAGCAGTTCCTGCTGACATCATGAGAATCGAAAGCAACGCCTCGAGCTTTGTTTGACTACTTTTGGTTATTTTCATGAAAGGAATCGCCTAATGAGTCAAACAAACAGCTAATAAGCAGAAGCTCTCACACAAAATAGCACTAGGCACTATTTCAATCTGATCGCAATAAAAACAACATCAACAGGAAGAGCAACAACAACAACAACAACAACATCTACAGTGGCAATAAATCACGCTGAACTTACTGCAACCATGTGGCGTATGCGCAATGTTGACACTTCTCTGGCCAAATGCAATTACCGGCGGCATGAGATGCCAGTTCTGAGTTCTTGTTTTTGTCACACTGACGGCGCCGCACAGTGTCACAAAATGCACATAATAAAAGTAATGATAATGATAATGATAAAGATAATGATATAAATACAAATATAATAATGATATTAATAATATTTATATTAATATTAAAAATTTC